TATACCCCAATAAAGATGTTAAAAAAAAAAAAAAAAAAGTAGGGCTTTTTTTTTTTCTTAAATTCCATATATATGTGTTAGCATATGGTATTTGTCTCTCTCTTTCTGACTTACTTCACTCTGTATGACAGACTCCAGATCTATCCACCTCATTACAAATAGCTCAATTTCGTTTCTTTTTATGGCTGAGGAATATTCCATTGTAAAGCAATTATACCCCAAAAAAAATGTTAAAAAAAAAAAAAAAAAAGTAGGGCTGATAACGTTCACATCAGATAAAGTAGAATTTCCTAGGGAGTGTATGGCACACAGCGAAGGAACTCTAAGTGGTGGCTGCGCATGGGTGTGGGCGCTGGCTCCTGCTCGCTAAAGTGCAGGTCTCCGCCATTTCTGGGCACGAGGGAGGACTGCACTTCCTCAGCCCCTCAAAGTAGGGCGTGGTCACGTGACTTGGTTTGGCCAATTAAGTGTGACTATAAGTCTCAGGCATCCTGTCTGGGTAGAAGCCCCCGGTTGCTTGACCTCCCAGCAGGCTCTCTTCCATGTCGCATCAACTGAAGAAAAATTCCTTGATTTGGGGGTGGCAACACTGAGCCATTGTATGGTAAGGAGTTGCCCTGAAGGACCGCTCAGCTCCATAATAGACTTTGTGCAAGCAGGAAATAAATATTTTAAGCCACTGCATTTTGGCGGTTGTTTGTTACTGCAGCATAACCTCACATTTCCTATCTAATACCTATATTAATAGTGAACCTTTATGTACTGAATAAATAACAGCTATATGACTATTAAAATATAAAGATAAATAAATACCGTATGATTTCACTTATACGTGGAATCTCAAAAATAAACAAATGCAACAAACAGAAACAGACTCATAGATATGGAGGACAAACTGGTGGTTGCTGGTGGGGAGGCGTGTGGGGGGATGAGTGAAATAGGTGAGGGAGATTAAGAGGTACAAACTTCCAGCTATAAAATAAATAATTGACAGTGATGTAATATACAGCATAAGGAATATGGTCAGTGATATTGTAATCGTTTTGTAGGATGACAGATGGTAACTAGACGTATCATGGTGATCATTTTGTAATGTATAAGAATATCAAATCACTATGCTGTACACCTGGGACGAATATAATATTGTTAGTCAATTATAAAGAATAATAACAATAAAAAGAAAAACTATAAGGATAAATAGAAAAAAATCACATTTTTCCAACATCATTATCAGTGTTCAGTGGGGCATGGAGGGAGGGATGTGGATGGTGTAGGTGGTGTGGAGAGAGCATCAGTGACCCTCCAGCCAAGCTCAGTAAAGGTGTGAATGTGGGGCAACTCCTAGAACAGGAGCTGTCAGTCACACGCAGTGCCCACACTTCGGACTCAGTCAATCCTTTGTCTCCTGCATTCAAGACAATCAGCTGTCTCCAGGGAGGTGATATCAGCCCCCATACTTGCTGCAGGTCTTCCTCATCCCTGCTAGAGGAAGGTGCCGGACCCCTGCCTCAAGCCAAATCCCTCTTGCGCTTTGTGATTCTGTTTGCCTCCCACCCTACCCACCCTGGCAGGCGACTCCTGCAGGTCACCTGACCCGGGTTCCCCTGCTGGCTGGCTCCTGGTGGGTTTAGCCAATTGGAGGCACCAGCGAGAGCCTGGGCGGGGTGGGGAGAGAAGTTGGGGTATTTCTCCCTCATCCCACCCTGCACCGTGGCACAGTTCCAACCCCAGGACAGTCTCTCCCTTCATCCCAGGCTTCCCACCAACTCCTCCGTCACACCGGCCCACGCCTCTGTAGATGGTCTCTTTGGTTAAGCCTCTTCAGGTAAAACGGTCTGAGTCAAATCCCATTTCTGACGGGACCCTGACTTTTCTCCCTCCCTAACTGGGGTTGGGGCTCCTCAGTCTGTCCCCTACCACCCGCCTGGGTTAAGAGCTTTTCCTATGGAAGAGCAGGGCTCTGACTGTGTCCAGATATCGTGGCCTCTCTGATCACCCCCAGAGCCCCCCCTGCTTGTGTGCAGCCCCATTTTGGACCACCCGTTTGGCACCAGGGGAGGACCTCTCGTATCTCAGGCAGAGGAGGGAAGGCAGACTCCTGGAACCTGCCTGGCTGAGGACCTGGACGCTCTGCCTCACCTCCATGGTAGGGGCAGGGTGGCACCTCCCTGGCATGGGCTCAAGAGATGGGGCCTCTCCTCCAGGTGTGTTCGGGAGCCCAAGGTGGGGTTCCTGGGCCCAGTCCTGCCAAGCCAGGCTCCTACATACCACCAGCCATAGCACCATGGAGCCTCAACCAGGCAGACTCCCCCATTCCCCACCCTGACTCCCCAATAACCAAGTGCTTCGGGGAAGGGAATGGCTTCCTCCCGAACACCCCCAGGCCTGAGGCCTTTCAGCACCTGTATCTCTCTTTGCCTCTGCCTAACCCTGTTGGGCTCTCTCAGTGAAACGTCTAACACTGCAGGGGTACCAGCCCTGTCCCGAGGACCAGGGCTCCAGTGAGGCCCATCCCCTGAGCTGGTCCTGGCTGCTTTGTTCACCCCGGTGAGAGAAGCTGCAGGTTCTCCAGCAGCTCTGGAGGCAAGTTGCTCGTGCAGAGGGATGAGCCCAAGATACAGCCCGGAGGACTGGAAGCCTTGTGCAGTACCACCTCCCCGGTAATCTCTGGAGGTTTCAAAACTTTTCCTGGTACTGATGGACTCTCTGTTGATCCCTCTCCGGCTTTCCAGCAGAAACTCCTGGCTGGGATGACGTGTCCCCGTTGCTGCCGAGGAAGCAGTCGGAGGACGGGAGGTTCGGATGTCGAGGAGGACTTGCCTTCTGGCAACGTCCTACGCCAGCAGGTTGAGGGGCTGGCCTCCACCAGCGGGAGGCTGAACTGGTAACAGAGAGTTGTGCATGTTGTTTGCAGCTAAATCAGGGATGAGAGCTACTTGGGAGGAAAGCATGTGTCGTTTGGGCCTGAGGATCCTGGCAACCCAGATACTGTCCACGGAGAAAAGCTTCAGCTTCTGGCGGCGGCTCCCTGAATCCCAGAATTCTCCGCCCCTTTTGTCTCTGGGCTTCGGAAGATGTGCCGGCCTCACCACCAGCAAAGCCCACAGTGTTCCCACCGCCTTCCTGTTCCTGCAGCACCCCTCAGCATCCCCTGGCACGGGGCCTACAAACAGCACAGTGAACGGAGGCACTGGCGAGCCCTGGGTGCTGGAGGCCCTGACCCTCATTGACCTGGCACCTGAGTTCTGAGCCACAGAAGCCGGGTGAGAGAAAGAAGATAGCCACACCCTAGAGAGCTCAGCCCAAAGAAGGGCCCTGGGGCAGTGGCGGAAGCTGAGGCGTGGGAAGGGCGCGCCTTCCCCAGCTGGAACATGTCTTCAAAGCTGTTTCCTCACCCAGGTGAGGTCACTGTGTCGGCCGCTGACCCACCTGAGAACCTGCTGCTGAGGGAAGAGGTCAGGGCTCGGATGCCAGCAGAAAAGCCAGATGCCACTGGCCACCTCCCCTCCTGCCAGAGCCAAATTTCCTCTGGAGATACTCGGCTAGGCCTGCTGACCCCACGACTTTGGGGCCACTCTGCTCCCAATCCCCCCGAGAGGGGTCGTGCTCGCCTGGTGGAACCAGCCCCAAAGGCTCTTTTAGTCCTTGTTTTCACCAAAGGAGGGACAGAAGACAGATGGGGGAGCTGCACAGGAGAGTCACGTACCAAGGATGGGGTGAGAGTAGCTCGGAATTATTTAAGTTTCCTGCTGGTTTCAGGAAAAGAGATTCTAAATAGTCATAATTTCTCATGCAAGACTCCATAGGAACTGTAATTGTTAGCAGCTTCAGGTGAAAAGAAAACACACAACCCCCTTGAAAAGCACACTGCACTATGCAAATAGGAAACCTGATAATACGTTCTCTTTCTTTCTGAGATCCTTGGCCTCAGGCCCCCACTGAGCCTGGTGCTTGCAATGAGGAAAAGCGACCCGCCCCATGCTTCCCGGAGCTGAGATTCATAAGGTAACCAGACCAGATTCCACAAGATATATGGAAACCTTCTAAATCTCCCCAAAGCAGAAAGGAAGTTTTCAGTGATTTGTTTCCTTTAATAACAGAGAGAAGATGGAGTAGAATTAGAGGGCCCTCAGTCAGCTAAATTCAGTTTTAATTTAATTCACCACATCTGACTTCTCAGCTGTCCAGGGCTCTGAGCAGAGCTTCCTGACCTGGCCAAGCTGGTCAGAATCACTTGGGACAAAAGCCACATGGCCAATCCTACCCCTGGAGGTCGGATTCAGTAGATCCAAGGGTGGATAGGGGCAGGAATCTGTATTTTTAACAAGATTCCTGGGGGATTCTGATACAAATCAACCCAGAATGGGGAACCGGCTGCTAGATCTATTTAGAGGCAAAAGACTTGTTTCCGGGCTTCCCTGGTGGCGCAGTGGTTGGGAGTCCGCCTGCCGATGCAGGGGACGCGGGGTTCGTGCCCCGGTCTGGGAGGATCCCACATGCCGCGGAGCGGCTGGGCCCGTGAGCCATGGCCGCTGAGCCTGCGCGTCCGCAGCCTGTGCTCCGCAACGGGAGAGGCCACAACAGTGAGAGGCCCGCGTACCGC